TAATCTATATAAATTTTGTCGCATTTGTATTTGTTAATAATGTACTATTAGCAGCATTCTACATTTTTTAAAACTTACCCCAGTATAATGTGTTTAAAAGCAAGTCTTCCAAAAATATAATAATTTCTAAAATATACGTATATCGTTGCTTGAAGATTTGGAGACAAAATACAATTATAAAAGTACAAGAAACATGGAAGTCCTTGAACTTTAATTTAAATTGAGGGAGGGACGGTAATTTAAGAAAAATTAACTTTTATTTTTTGCTTTGTGTATATACTTCCGCTTCTATAATGTTTTTAAAGTGAAATATGTCTAAAATATTTACGTTTACGAAAATCTATGCAATCACTAATTATACCGAGGATACAAAAACAATTGTGACAATGAAGTCGGAATGCATTTGATCGAGAAGACTGAAATTACAATGGCTGAAAATGTGACAAATTTTCAAATTAATTTATTATTATGTCAGCAAATAAGTATTCCTGAATTTAACATAAATATATGTTCCATGCAATATATTCTTATTTAGAATCAAGAAAAATGTACAAAAGTTGAAGAAAAATAATTTTATTGCCAAATATATTGTTTATCTATACTGTGAATAATCAATTTAACTTAACAGTAGTCACACAATTTGCATGCTAACTTAATTTAATAACACTACAAAAACTGTATTGTACAAATTGTAACATAAATAATGTAAATTATAACTGATTGTACCAAATAAAAGGGATTGTGTTTATATGTTCTTTTTGAACTATATTTCGTTTATAATTATACTTTCAAGTGTTTCTGTTGATGTTTTTCTAACACCTTCTTAATTACATTGAATGTAAAGTCCGCATCCTGTTTGCTTACACACAGAGGTGGTTTTAATCTCAATACCTGTGCATTTTAAATAAGAATATTCATACGTTGAATATTGTAAATATTTATAGTACAATTTTTGATTCACTTACGTTTGCACATAATCCTCCTTTGCCGAGAAGGACACCCATATCTTTTATGTCTTCGAAAATCTCGGTCATACATTCGTTTGCTAATGGTTCTTTCGTTCCTGAATTTGAAATTAATTCTATGCCGATGATTAGTCCTTTACCTCTAACATCGCCTACGATATTTGGGAATTCCAATAGAAAAGAATTCAAACGATTGATCAAGTACATGCCAACGATATGCGCATTTTCTTGAAGTCCCTCTTCTTCGATGATCTGCAATTAATTTATTAAAATATTACAGTTCAAAAAAACTTCACAGGTATTAAATATACTTACGTCAAGCACCGTCGTTCCCACGGCACATGCAATCGGATTTCCACCGAAAGTATTGAAATGCAATGCAGCATTTAGACTATTGGCTATTTCGGTGGTAGTGACTACCGCGCCAAGAGGAAATCCATTTCCCATACCTTTTGCCAGTGTCACTATATCAGGTAGCACCCCATGACTTTCGAAGCCCCAAAAATGTTCACCAGTTCTACCAAATCCAGTTTGAACTTCATCCGCTATACAAAGACCGCCTTTGTCACGGATATAATTGTACACCCTTTGAAGAAAACCTTTGGGATATTGTACTGCTCCTCCGACTCCCTAACAAGTAACATTTATGATTAATTGAAAAGAAAATATTCTTGCAGTACGATAGTTTTTCCAAATTATGAGAGTACCTGAATACTCTCAGCTATGAACGCAGCTATACCCTGTGCACGGGGCAAACTAAAACGAAACGTATCCTCAAATTCAGTGAAATACTTCTCTGATGCTACGCATTTTTCATTGTTACAGTCACAATGCCTATTTGCTTGCACTAATGAGTCCCTGCATTTTGAACCACCCCACTGACCTCTATAAACATCTGGATAGGTCACCTGAAATCAGATCTTCTATGAAAATAAGTTTGATCATTTATTGTATAACAGAATATGGTTCTACATAAGATCGGCACCCACGTGCAAATATCCGGGTGGTTGTACAACAAATGGGTACCTCCAAGTACTTATAGCAGTGGATGCTACCGTCCCATAAGTTGCTCCATGATAACCATTTTTCAGTGAAATGATGCTATGATTACGTGTGTGAACTCTAGCCATTAAGAATGCTAATTCATTTGCCTCTGAACCGCTATTCGTTAAATAAACTACTTTTAGCTTTTCCGGAAATTTTTTAGTTAATTTCTTTACATATTCATGTAAACGAGGTTGCATATATACTGAGGATACATGGTTTAATTTTGTTGCTTGTTCAGTTATAGCTGCAACTATTTTCCTAAATAATAAAAATAAGAAGACCATCACTTTGTTATTTAACTTATATCTTCTTTGCAAACTGTATATTTACGGATGAGAATGTCCAACAGATATTGTAGCAACACCACCAAACATATCCAAATAACGTTTCCCACGATGATCCCACAACCATTGTTTATGACCTTCATGAATAATTAAGGGTTTCTTATAAAATGGTCTTAAAGAAGGAGACACTATTGACTCATGTGCTTTCTTTATCTCTTCGTAATTTAAACCCTAAACATAACAAGCTGTTAGCACAAGGAGAGTCCAAAGATAGTATTATTGCAGTAAAAAGATATCTCACCATGTAAGTTGAAGGTATGTGTTTACAGTCCGGCATTTTCAGAGAATCCGTTATATTAGTTGCCAAAGATCTTGTTTGATTAGTGAACTCTATTAAAATGATCAAAATTATGTTACTCGTAGAAATGAAATTTAAAAATTTGTGTACTTTACTTTCAAAAACCGGAAGTTATTCAGTTCGCCCAAGATTTGAATTTAGATTACTGATTTGTATGTGCTTAAGTTTCTTAAAAAATATATTGAAATGCTTACTATTTGAGTTTTTATACCGAACATTTGCATATATTTTGACGATATTGTGTATCGACATATCAATGTTACGTTATTTATAAAGTAGCGTATTATAAAACACGTTTTCACTACTGAACAATCAACTCTTTTCTGGCAGCACCCCATGTCTACTTGTACTTAAATCTAAAAGTTAAACGAGTTTATTTTCATTCGAACGCTCATGTATAAAATATGGGTATATTGAATAATGTATAAACAGAGAAACCAAAAGAGCTCCTTTTGTGATACATACACATAGAATATTCAAAATAAACAATGGTGTGCCTGGTAAAATAATCAACGATTCAATACATTTAAAGCAACTTTATTTATGCATGTGATTTACGTACATAAATTACTCATCCATTGATATGTTTTTGTTCTCTTTTTCTATACTTTCTTGTATGTACAATGGATCTACTACTGCTGATTTTAGTTTAAATACAATAGGTATATGATTTAAAACAGGATTCGTTTTTTGCAAACATCTTATCCATGATAGTAGAGAATCTTTGGAGGATGTGCCAGTGAGACATATTGCATAATATACACCATCATCTTGTTCGTGTATACTAACAGGTATATGAATGTGCAGTTTCTCCCAAAAAGGAATTTCTATATTGTTGACATCTAAAAGGAAAATGGTAAAATCATGTAGTTTTATTATAATATAATTTGTATTTATTTATATGGATATATATTTACCATCCCCATTAGTATGAACAATTTCACGTTTAATTGGATCTCCTTTCAATACAAAATAATCTAAATGGTTATCCTTAACCCAAACCTTAAAAGGTCCTTCAATATTTAAAGGCTGAGAGGTAGGTTGTACAGCAAGTAATTCTTGCTGTGTTCTACTCATCGTAGATATAATCCATGTATCATCCACAGCATCTACTACATCCTTTGTGCTATATTCTGTAACTTTGCTTAACAAATCTTTGCTAGATAAAGCTTTTATAGCATAACCAGCTAGCACTTTCGGATCTGTAGGTACAGGAGATGGGACACGCCAAGGATTTAATCTAGAAAATTTTGGCTGCCAATACATCATACGCCAGAACTTCATAATGGGCAAGCTGACTGAACCAAAGATATTCAAAATCATTTCCTGCATCTCATAATCAGGTATTACACGATTATCTTCCATTTTTTGCAACAATTTAAGGGCTGTATCTTGCTGCTTTGGAAAATAATACGACATGATTTGATACTTATTTCTTGCTATGTAATGTCCCTTAGGAAATACGTCCATCAATGTTTTATAAACTTCTAGATCTTTGTGCACACCAAATTCCTCCATGTATTTCATAGCATGCAAAATAAATTCTGCATGTCCAGTTCTTAAACGATTTTCCTTAGAATATAAATGTACAACATCTAAATATGTTTGTCTTTCTTTTTTTTCTGATTGTTGGAAAGGATAAGTAATACTTGATGTATTCTTAGACTTGTTTGTGTTGTATAGAATATTGTTATTATTGTGTATGTAATTTACAAGTGCTAACTGTACAAATTTCGATTTTTTAGATATTCCAATTTTATATAACGCAGGAAATTTTTGTATTAATAATTCCATTTTAATTACGTTTTTATGATCTATCTCATTAAAATATATTGCAATATATTGTGCACACTGTACTTGATGTTAATAACAAGATAGTTCTTGTATATATTCTTGAATAAATTTATATTAAATTAACTTTTCGAACCGTTGTTTATGATAGATGTAACATAATTTTTATATTCGGTAATGAATTCCATTACTGCACTCTTCTTTTACATTAGTTTCACGATTTTATTCAAAGTAATCACTACTACGGTGCATTGATTTCTGCTGTTAAATTATTCCGACAGAGTAAATTACACCAGCGATAGTGGCGACATCCGACAGTATCAACAAGTGCCAATTAGTAAGTGGCAAAACGCTCAAGCTGTTAACCAAAATCTAGCCAAAAATTGTTGATAAATTTGTCTGTCAGCATCTAAGTTGTCATTGCTGTTACAGTACTATATATTGTACATATATAATTTCTATTTTCGGGGCTTGGCAAAACATATTGAGAACCCCTGTCATTACGGAGATCAAAAATAGAACAGTTTTAAATTAAATTAAAAATTAAAAATTGAGTAATATATAAGTATGTACATATGTAATTGTTTCATACACTAAAGTGTATGAATACATTTTACGACTAGTAGCTTGACATTACATAAATATTCAAATTATGTGTGTCAAATGTATTTTCCAAGTTAATTAAATCATTTTAGCATGAAAAGATATACAAAGTTACACCTTCATCGTGACATAATAGAGGATAAACAAAAGATTCGTGAATCTATTTTTCGTAATGAAAAAATTGTATACGATTATTAAAATTCTTACAAAAGAATGTTTCTGCACCTGACGTTACAGGATAGGAATGAAGAAATGACCGAATGTTAGTAGTGCATAAGATTAAAATTTATATAATTTTAATATAAAGAAACAAATCGTTCTAGTTTCTGTGATAAATACTGAATGGGCTATTTATATTGTACATATTGTTAAATATTCTGCAAGTATGAATCCAATGTTTAAAATACTCTTGTCCTACTGCTGGGGAAATATGTATTTAATAATTGGGCTAAGCATGGGCTTAAGCCTCAGTATGATGTCAATGACTATCGATATGGATGAATATGACATTAATGCAGATCATCAAATGCCTTATTCGAATTATCCAGATGACTTAGATGAATATGAACCAAAGATAAATATCAATAGTAAACCACAACAGGCACAAAGAGTACCAAAAACACTGATACGTCCAAGATATTATTCTACAGAGCTTGGAATTAGAGAAAAATTATTTGTAGGAGTGATCACAAGTCAACAACATTTGCATAGTAGAGATATAGCAATTAATAAAACAGTGGCCCATATCGTGGATAAAATACGTTACTTCATTTCTATACCAGAGGGAACCAAGCCTAATGTTAGCCTTCCTGGTATAGTTGGGTTCACAGACACCAGGAGTATTTTGAAACCATTCCACACTATGAAATATATAATTGACAATTATCTAGAAAATTATGATTACTATTTCTTGATTAAAGATGTAAGCTACATCAATGCCAAGAAATTAGTTGAATTTGTTACCAAGATCAGTGTAAGTCAAAAGGTTCATATGGGTGTTCCTGGAAACATTCAAAGCTATTGTTCTTTAGGTAAGAAGATTGAAATCGGAGCGTTATTTCTGTAACATTATTTTTTTATTAATAAAAATTTCTGATTGACTTTCAGAGTCAGGAATACTCTTGAGTAATTCAGTGGTACAAGAATTAAAAAACAATTTGGACTGGTGCGTGAAGAATGCTTATTCTGATTCAGACAATGTTAATTTTGGTCGATGTGTTGTTCACTCTTCGTCAATGGTTTGTTCTGATCAGACACAAGGACAGCAATACCAATTTACCCAGCTGAAACCCACATTTTTATTCAAACAAAACTTTAAGGATCTAGCTGAAAATGAGGAGTTTTTAAATTCATTTGTAATATACCCAATATATGATCATCTGCTTATTTACAAATTCAACACTTATTTTGCAGCGGTATGATTGAATGTTAATTTATATTTAACAATAATTATTTATGGCTTATTCCTATTCCATATCGCTTTCAGATGAAATCCATTGAAATTCAGAGGCAAATCTCCGACATCAGAAAATCGATTTCAGATACAGCATATTTGGGCCCGTCACAGGATCACAATGTTTCTTGGCCCATTGGCAATCAACCAGGGAACAAAGCATCCAGTCGTTTCGATATTTTACGATGGACATGCTTTAATGAAACTCACATGTTCTTCGAAACTGATTTTTCAACCGTGCAGAGATTGAAAGCTAATGCAAAGTTTGATATCGACCGAATAATTAACGTAACAGCCTCCAATGTTATCGACAACTCTCGACAAGAATTGAAATTCAAAAAATTACTAAACGGATACCAAAAGTTTGACGCATCCCGAGGAATGGATTACATATTAGACATAGCGTTCACCAACATAATTACTGGTAAAGAAATAAGAAAACGAATCGAAATTTGCAAGCCTCTTGGCAAAGTTGAGATTCTGCCTGTTCCATATGTGACAGAAAATACAAGAGTGAATGTATTATTGATTGTTGATTCGTCAAAGAAGCAGGCTGCATTAAATTTTCTCGAACAATATGCCATAGACTGTATAGAAAAAAAGTACAAAACTTTTTTGATGATGGTAGGTGTTTCCATAATTTTTTTCTTCATACTTATTTTCGTGGGAATCCTTTTAATACAATCTTTTAATAGGCTCTTTTATACAATTTTGGTACCACATCGAAAGGCAAAGAAGATGTGTTTCATGACGTTAAACAATACGCGCTAATGCTGGCTGAAAAGTACAAAAAAAGTCAGTCGAAAATAACTTGGCTTTCTATTCGTTTACCAAGTAATGTAACATCTATTGACTTGGATCCAATGTTAAATATTGCTGTCACAGATTTATGTATTCGAAAGTTTTCACCAGAGAGTTTGATACTATTCACTGAGACAGGAACACAACTGCGGTTGGATTATTTAAATAGAGTATGTTTGTTACTTACCATAACTACTGCTGTATTTCAACAATGCAAATTAATTTACATGTTCATGTCCAGATTCGTATGAATACAATCAGTCAGTATCAAATATTTAGTCCGATACCGTTTGTGGAGTTTCAACCTGACATAGTTCACATAAACAATGCGAAACACGTTGATACCGACATCAATCGTAATCATGGAAGATACGATGATTACAATTATAATAATATTGCGTTTTACGTCAGAGATTACAATACAAGTAAGTGATTAAAAAAAAAAGTTGAGAATGTTTACTATACTTAAAGCAAAGAAGGATTAAGATCGCTTTCTTAAATGTTACAGTGCGGAGAATGGTCGAGACTAGCATTCCAATAACACACTCCGATAGGGACATTCCACCTCTCTTAAAACTATCTCACGATCTACCTGTTACATCTCTCTACGAAATGTTTGTTTCCTTCAGTAATGCACATATATTGAGGGCAGTGGAGCCAGCCTTAAAAGTCAAATATAAAGACATTGACTGCAGTAATGCCTACAGTAATATGTACAAAGTTTGCGACCGGTCAAGGATTTTCCATTTGGGACGACGTAGTCAGCTCGCAAGATTGATATTAGATTACCAAATTTATAAGAATAATTTGTATCAGTCGTAAATTATTCTTTTTTCTTTTTAATTAATGTATAAAAGTCTTCATTTACATGAGCACAATGAAAGCTTGTTATTATCGGATTAAAAAATGACAGTAATCTCTATAGTACAAAAACGTGGTAACGCGAGGAAACGTTGTCAATCAATTATTGATATAACTAATTGTATTTGCATATAATACGATTCGTATTATGAAGAATACTTTATTAAATTTATACAATTTCGTATAAATAAATATTTTACGAAGAATAAAATCGTTTATCAATTTTGTGTATACGTCATATACTACGACATTTTCCATGCTAAGACGAAATTTTATGCATAGAATCAATCGGATGTACCATATATAACATTCAGATATCAGCAGCGTTCGGAAAACAATACAAAAATCAATTTCAACAAATTAAACAATTGAGAATACTTTTGCCACTTTTCTAGGAAGTGCGTAAAAAGTTTTGGCAAGATTTCTACCTTCGAAATATATAAGAAAATAAAGATCAAAACATTACACTAAATATTAGTCAATAATAATTGTACAATCCCTAATACCTTATAAATAAATGTACATACATAACATTACTGTTTGCAACCGTTACTTTTCCCATGTATTTATTACTGGAAAATGTAAAGGTTACCCGTTACATATAGAATATGTGGAGCATCCTTACAAACTGGCTATACAAATTTCTTTCTGTGATGTAGAACATAGTTAACAGTTCTTCTATTTCACTGTCATTTATTTCTCGACAGACCACAACAAACGATACGCCGAAAAGAAGAACAATGTTTGCCATGCTATTGCATGTTATTTATGTATACCCTACCACTAATCGCTGTCAGACTCTGATTCCGATAGCTTCAAGTCCTCAGTTAAAAGATTATCTGGCATACTGTGCATATGTCCTGAAGAAAGTATAAAATCGACTGTTTTAGAATACTGTGAGTAAGTAGGATATAGCTAAATAATGATTAAATAAAAATTGTAAATACGCACCATTACTTCCTGGTATCACTGGAACAGTTTCCATTTCGGATTCGCTATCTGAACTATCCGAGCTCGAGCTGCTTGTAACAGAATCACTGAGAGCACCCTCATCACTGTCTATGTTTACTGGAAGTTTTATGGTCGGTTGAGGATTCACAGCAGGAGAAGGTCTTGGAGGTACAGAAGCATTTGTAGCTGGGAATGATCCAGATGACATTAAAGGGCAGTCATCGATATCCGAGCCGATCATTGGCAAACTAGCCAAGGTTGGTGCAGTAGATGATTGTACTGGTGAACTAAAGTTTTGTGTTTTTAGTGAGTTTAGAAAAAAATCTTAATGTATAATAATATGATTACTACATAGGAAAAGAATTAGATTATTCTAGGTCTGAAATCTTTAATAATTTGCATTATTACTGGAGTCATACTTCTAGTATCTTCTGCTAAAATTACAGCTGTTAGAAATACAGTCCCACTAACAAAATTTAACAATTCTCTGCACTCAATAATAAAAGGTACGTAAATACCTATTAATAGAAGTGGTAGGTGGACTCTTGCCATGATAGGGAGAAACTCTAAGAGGACTAAATTGTTTTGAAGGCAACTGAACACTAGGTTCTCTTTTCTTTCCACTTGTAACTTTCGTTCTCCCAGTTGCTCTACCATGGGTGGGGCTTCTTTTGTTTTCTACTGGAGTTATAGGTCTGCCACTACTATTTGACCCAGGAACTCCTAAATGTGACTGTGACTTTGGTTCAGTTCTAAAAAATTATTTATCATGTATCAACCACTTCCATCTATAATACACAAATTGCTAGGATAAGATCTAACTGTACCTAGTCTTTTTAACTTGTATGTTCGCTGTCAATTTCTCTAATGTAATTTCTCCTGTATTTCTGTCTATTATAAGAACGCATTCCTTGTGATAAGGTCTTTGAGAACCTTTGAAGACTGTATGAGGAATTCCAGCACCATCTAAATGAGGTACAGTGACTGTCATAGTGTTGTTAGTTCCCACATCGACCCTAGCAACTTTGGAAACATCAACACTAGCTGGTTTAAAATCATCTGGAATTAAGAGGCTAATGTGAATGTGTGAACTAAGGAGAACCAAGTTTGAAACTTGCTTAATTCATACACTAACATTTCAGGGTGTGAAAAGCGGTAGATCTGTTGTTGGTGAAGGTTGGTCCCAACTTCAGTTCTCGAATTTCGGAACCTAGACCGAGCCGCCCTGCCATGTCACGGCCGATGCCTTGGAAATTTGTTTCGGAGACAGAGGCAACCGATTTCATCGGGACCGTTTTGATTATTCGGCCTCCGTGAAAGTAACCGTGCAATGTGCTCGAAGCACAAGCAGTACCCAATAAATCTAGATTACCAATTTAATATTTTATCGGCCTGTCTGCCAAAATATGGCAGAGACGCGCACTCGCATTTTCCAGTAACAGCTGCTCGAGAAAGCTGTGCAATTTCTACTGTTACAGTGAACACACTTGGTTGTCCGTTCGATTGATTACTTGTATCTTAATAATCAATAAATAGGCATGGCAAGCGAGAAAACAGAATTAAACAATTACAGTTCGCACTACACGGTTCTTCGTTGACCTAGTTAAATCCAAGTACAATCTGGGTGCACAAAGATTCAACACTTATGGTTAATTCGTCAAATAATATCGAGAACACTTTTGACGAAACGAGAAATAACCAATCCTAAGAGTCTGTGTTCGTTCGATTGATTCGACCGCACTCTAGATGTATTACAATCGAATCATTCTCAAATTCTTGATAGACACACTATATCTGAAATTCTTAGGTTCTATTGAAAATTAACTCATCGAGTGTATGCACTGCACTACGTATGTACATACAGTAATGCCTCATCACAGTAAGCCCATGCGGGGGCAACCGGCTAAGAATTATGAAGCAGGTAGAGAGAAACTGCTTTTCTCTCATTGGTTGACGCTTCACAGCTAAACAGTGCTGCTCTTACAGTTTTAGACAAAGAGAGAAAGTGGTGAGTGAGTAAAAGAGCATGACATCAGCACACCACCAAGCGAAACAGATCACACTGATGACCAATATAGCTGTCTCACTTTAGCATGCTTGCGATCTCACTCCATTCGCGCATCTGTTTGCCTGGCGCTCCATCTGAAACACTTGGCGCGATATTCGACTTGTACTTTTCGCCCCGTAGGATTTTCGGCCACATAGTCCAGCGTATTTACGAACGTCTTGAAAATTATTTCTACAATTATCACAATTCTTGAAAAGCTACATTTTAGCTAATGATTTCTACTTTATGATTTACAAAATGTTAATTTAGAAATCCCAGTACTTATTAACTGGGACGGCTAACAATTAATAATCTACTGTACAAGAAGTAGTTTTGAAAGCAACGAATAATTTCTCAATTTTATATCATTTTTACTATTAACGATTTGAAAAACGAAGTTGAAACTTGCATTCATGGCTCACTCGCCATTTTTCCTCTTTGTCTAAAACTGTAAGAGCAATACTACATACCTAGCTGTGAAGCGTCCACCAATCATAGAAAAGCAGTTTCTGTACCTACCCTCTGTAAAAATATTTTTTATCTCTACGAAATTTAGTGCGTAGCAAAATGCCGCAAAATTTAAAATCACATTGGTAAATTGAAAAATCTGTTTATTCTTTTCTTCAAGGGTATAAAAATGCAGTAACTGTTCAATATATTAATATTATTCACAGTTCATTCAAGGTTAATACCATAAAAATTTCTATGAAACAAAGAGAATATTGGGTTAAATCAGTACTTGGAATATCGTAGTAGTAGCAAAACTCGTCGATGAAAAATCGTTCGAAAACGAAGGAAGCGACCAGACTGATAACATTATAATTAGCGTTTTGCAACCCTACCAATGCAATCATTAACAGCTGTAACGTGGAAGCAATATTTTGTAACAACTGATGCCTTCTTATTTGTCTTTCTTTTCGTTTTGTCTGCAGCTGGAAAAATATTGGTAAAACGCCAAAGGAAAGTACTATGAGCCAAACCGTTTCGTTAATTCCATATTCGTTTAGGATACCAGTGGTAAACAGTGCCAAAGGTGCAACATCAACGACCTTGGAGTACCAATCGTAGAAAATCCTTAGGTACTTTACTAAAGTAGTTGCTGATGAGATGCATGGAGCTCCTGGAAGTAACATTGCTAAAAATAATGTGCTTAATGCTTGACACACATGATTCGGTACAAGTGCCGCTTTATTTACTATGTTTTATTGCGCTCAAAGAATGAAACAGACAATATATATTCTGTAAAGTTTTCAGTGTTCTAAGAGGGCTATAAGAGTATTGAATTTTTAAATTATTCAATGTGCCCATCTAACAGCATTAGATAGTAAGAAATAAATTAAACACAAAAGACAGTTGTGTAGTTGTGAGATTAAATGTAAGAATGGATGTAGTAGTTGGAACTTGCGAGAAATAATATGAAAGGTTATTACTGTTACTATTATGGATTTAGTAATCTGAAATCAGTAGTTAAATCTCATATTTAAAAACGTGGAAATTAGTGAACTTCTTAATACGATAAATGTAAGTCAATGTTTAGTAACAGTTACTTTGATATGGAAAAGTCAATATTGAATGAGAAGAAATGAAAAATCTATCAATATTAGAGCTCCATGGCCAAAACTAAAGCATGCAAAGTAGTTTGACCATTAAGCCTAGTCAACATGCAAAAGCAATGTATAATTATACTTCTTAGTTAGCGAAATAAGGAATTTGGATAGACATTATACCTTGCGTGACAAGCATAAAGCAACTAATGTGCATGTTCAGTTAACTATGCAAACTTCTATCCAACATAATCAGTATCTTTTGCATGGTGATAATTGCGTGCAATCATTATCTTTGTTTCACAAGTCCTGTTCGAATCGGTGCATAGGAGCTGCAATATTATTTCTCACCTGTTCCAACGACATGGAAAAGCTACTAACGACGAACTAAAAACACATCATCCTCCGCTAGAGTTCTATGTTCGAAAGTCAAGTACAATACCCTCATGTAGTTTCATACCAACTAATCCTCTGCATGACCCCCAATAATTTATTAGTCATACTTTTTGGGGGCTCTGTACAGATAATGTTGTTTTAAAAAATATACTAGACGGATATCAAGATGCAGGATAATGTAAACATCGAAGAGTACTTCCTTACCAAACCTAAGAATCCCTATGACGGAGTGTGAAAGTAGAGTTTGGAAGGCACGAAGTGACCAGACACTTGCTTTACTATACGGGTTGCTGATAGTGTTTATGCAACCAATTGTCACAATTAATTTGGCAAGGTGCGCTATAACACCACTGGGACAAACCATGGTCACCTTTTATTCACGAACACCTTGCTTCTCAGCGAGATTAATCTCGAGTTGCGAGATATATTATGCTGAATGAAAAGTTCCATGCGATTGCAATTTCAAATCAGCGGTGCACGAAAACCTTTTAGACTCGAATGAGTGACTTTTTTTCATTGATTCCTTTCATTCCTCGAGAATGGTTAGGTTAGAAAGATAAGTGACCAATACCACTGTAAATAGAACATCTATGCTATTTATGTACAATATGTTTTACTGCTCTGAATTATATATATATTCGAGTTTGGCACGTTGCTGTCATAGGCGGCAGCACATATGTATGTACTACACAACATCGTAGCGTGGACAATTTCGGACTAAAGAGGATCAGAAACGATTACATGTACAGCATAGATAGGATAATAGGATAGGAGTTAGATGTGTATGCACATCCATACATATGTATCGTGTTCTATTGTAGTTGCTCGTGAAGTTACATTGTGTTGACAAAATTAATAAAACCTAATTAAGCCGGTGAATAGAATCGATTTAAATTCATAATAAATAATGGGTCCGCCGAAGCGGTTTAAAAAAGATAATGGTACGAAATTAATTATCTTCTTAAATCAAATATATTTTTCGTAAATAATGATCTATAGTTGAGTGACAGGTTATGTGAGTACAAGTGACAACACATTTGAAGTTGTTTACTTTTACAGATCGAGGCAAATGGAAGAAACGTAAAGAAGATCCTGAAGAGTACAACGACGATGATTCTATAGACGATAATGAAGCAGACGGCGTGCCAGATGCAGCCAAAAATGATGTTGAAAAACAAGACGAAACAGCGTTGGAAGATGAGTTCGGCGCAAAAGATTATCGTTCTCAAATGATTTTGAAACCTGACTGTGCATCAAGACCACTTTGGGTGGTAAGACATTGGCATTAAATTGTTTTTTATGGTTATATTATTGGAAATTTTACATTAAACATTAAAACAAAATTATTTATTCAGGCACCGAATGGACACATTTTCTTAGAGTCCTTTTCACCTGTCTATAAACATGCACATGATTTTTTAATTGCTATCTCTGAGCCTGTGTGTCGACCAGAGCATATTCATGAGGTAAAATAATGATTATATTAGCAAATTTATGTTAGAATGTAAAATATTTTTAATACATTCATTTTATTTTATAGTACAAACTAACTGCTTACTCATTGTATGCTGCTGTTAGTGTTGGTCTTCAAACACATGATATTATAGAGTACTTAAAGAGACTTAGTAAGACTAGTATTCCTGATGGTATTATAGAGTTTATAAAATTGTGCACATTATCCTATGGCAAGGTAAAGCTAGTGTTGAAGCATAATAAATATTTCGTTGAATCACCTTATCCCGAAGTATTACAAAAATTATTGAAAGATCCAGTGATTCAAGAATGTAGACTGAGAAAAAATATAGAAGATGAAAAGGAAGAAATAATTACGAATGTTCAGAGCAAAACAAAAACTCCACAGGTAAAACTTATTAGCATGGGAGTAAATTGAGTGACCACAGTTTAAAGTATTTTGTTTACTTTTAGTTTGGAGCAAAAGCAGTGACTAATGTTCCAGTTGGAACAACAAAAGTGCCTGAGACTACCACTGATCAAGTTCCAGCAGAAGCTGCTGCAGTTCCAGAAGACATAACTACCTTTTATGATAAAATGGACAAAGAAGACGAAGACGAGGAAGAGGAGCAAGAATTAAAAACTGTTAGTTTTGAAGTAAATCAGGTGTGTACATTTTTTTAATTTATTTTAATAGTGCTCTTTGCTGTAACAGGAGTTTGTTACAGGAAAAAATTGAAGTCATACAGAAGAGATGCATAGAATTGGAGCATCCATTATTAGCAGAATATGATTTCCGCAACGATAGCGTAAATCCGGATATCAAGTGAGTGTAGCGGTCTGAAAAAAGTTTGAAAACAATCCAGGAAGATCGATCAAATATGTTTAATGTGTTTCCAGTATCGATTTGAAACCGTCAGCAGTACTCAGACCTTATCAAGAAAAAAGTTTACGAAAAATGTTCGGTAATGGACGCGCCAGATCCGGTGTAATTGTTTTACCTTGCGGTAAGTGATTAAATTACCAATAATACTTTCCAACAGATATTTACCTTTCTTGTATTTTTCGGTAACACAGGTGCTGGTAAAAGTTTAGTCGGTGTAACAGCTTGTTGTACGGTACGAAAACGTGCGTTAGTATTATGCAACTCCGGAGTATCAGTGGAACAATGGAAGCAGCAGTTCAAAATGTGGTCCACTGCCGATGACTCGATGATATGTCGATTCACAAGTGAGGCCAAAGATAAACCAATGGGCTGTGGGATTTTAGTTACAACTTATTCTATGATCACACACACTCAAAAGCGTTCGTGGGAAGCTGAACAAACGATGCGATGGCTTCAGGAACAAGAGTGGGGAATCATGGTTTTGGATGGTAATTAAAGCTTATCATGAAACTACTTTTGGATTGAATTTTTGTAAATACATAATATAATTTTTAGAGGTACACACGATTCCTGCAAAAATGTTCAGAAGGGTTCTGACTATTGTCCAGTCTCATTGCAAATTGGGTTTAACTGCAACTTTGTTGCGTGAGGATGACAAAATTGCAGATTTAAACTTCCTTATTGGTCCCAAATTGTACGAAGCTAACTGGTTGGAACTCCAAAAAAGAGGTTTCATCGCGAGAGTGCAGTGCGCCGAAGTTTGGTGTCCCATGACACCAGAATTTTACAGAGAATACCTTGGTTGTAAAATGAGCAAAAAGTTGGTAAGTAATTGTATGTTATTTTAATGTGACAGCAATAGATTTTTAACTACATTTAATTTACAGTTACTCTACGTTATGAATCCTAACAAATTTCGTTGCTGCCAATATTTAATACGGTATCACGAAAGGCGTGGCGATAAGACGATTGTATTTTCAGATAACGTTTTCGCTTTAAAGCATTATGCCATTAAAATGAATAAACCATACATCTATGGTCCTACTAGTCAGGTACGTAAGGCAATGATAAACATTCAGTTAATTGCGAACTTGACACATTAACAGGATCACACGTTCGTATTTTAGAGTGAACGAATACAAATTTTGCAAAACTTCAAGTTTAACACCAAAGTGAACACAATATTCGTGAGTAAAGTGGCGGATACGTCGTTTGATTTACCTGAAGCTAATGTCTTAATTCAAATATCGTCGCATGGTGGTTCGCGACGTCAGGAAGCCCAACGATTGGGTAGAATTTTAAGAGCCAAAAAAGGTAAATTTCTATAACGAAAAATGAAATCTGTTTCGCTTGAAATGAAACATAAAATGTTACTTTTAGGTGCGATTGCGGAGGAATATAACGCATTCTTCTATACGTTAGTTTCGCAAGACACAATGGAGATGAATTATTCGAGAAAACGTCAACGGTTTCTCGTGAACCAAGGATACGCTTATAAAGTTATTACAAAACTCGCAGGAATGGATGAAGTATGTATCATCGCTTGGTAATTTTGCGGGCACACTTTCTAATGATTTCAATCTTAATTTTCTTTACTAAAACAGGAGCCAGACCTAATGTACGCGACTCGAGAAGAACAGGGACATTTACTGCAACAGGTTCTCTCAGCTAGTGACATGGACGCGGACGAAGAAAGAATACCTGGAGAGGGACCTAGACCTGTAAGTTCTACACTTTTAACGTATTTTCAATAATGTTCTAATTCCAATGAAATTATTATTACAGATTATGCGTAAGGCTGGTAATATGACTTCAATGTCGGGTGCTGACGATGCAGTCTACTATGAATACAGAAAAGCCCCTGGATCATCTACTGCAAACAAGCATCCATTGTTCAAGAAGTTCAGAGCATAATCATTCTTTGCCATAAGTGTATATAACTGTATTTCTCAAGTAGTATCGACTCTATGGCTAACAAAGAGAATCTTTTTATTGAAGAAAATTGTTAATAGAATGCGCTTTACAACAATGACAATCAATAATTCCCTTTACCTACATGAAACACTTGATGTCTTGTAGTTATTAGTACAGTCATGTGCTCGCTGGTACGATTTACGTGGCAGTAATGAAATTTACGTACATGTAAACCTTCGGTTCAGTTGACATAGTAATGCGATAAGGATATATCCGATAAGTCAGTTTACAGTAAGCGATAACTGTGTCCGTATTAAGGTAGCACAGGATCTCTTATTTGCAGAGAACCCTTGTCAAAATCACGAAAAAATATTATATAAATATTAGACTGTGTACATATTTAGTTACGTTTTTCTAAATACATACTAAGTTAAACTGTAAAAGAAGCAACTGAAATAAATGAAAGACTATACACCGATTACCGTATCTTGTGACCTAACCGAGACTTACAATTCGATATTTGCATTTGGAAAATCAAGTACCTGCCCCAGGACAAGTTCTATCCCTAAGCTAACATATTCCTTTAAATTCAAACACTTGCTAGTATGCGCATGACAATAGATAAATAAGTGTAATTTAACGGTCCAACAAAATTGATAGAAATTAGCACAGGCGGACAAGACTTCGATTTTTGAAACTACACGAGACTTCGAAAACAATATATATTAATGAAATGAATATTTAAACATTTGCATTTTTTTTTATTTACTAACATATCAAAGTGTTACAGTAAACTATAAGAACAGTAGTCATAGTCATTATATAATTTATATTTATAACGAAAATTCTCGATATACTCGATATTCTCGAAAACAAAAAGTTTCGAGACCCCGCACACTTCTGGTACCTACCATTTACAGTATTACCGGCAGATCTGAGAATACTAAGTCGCGATACATTAATACGAATACATATAGTAATGCTAGAATAAAAACGATGGCTTAACTTTTCTATTTCTAATTTTTTGCCGCGATACGAAGGCAATTCGGAGGCCATGTGACACAGTTTGACGGTCACATATCTTGTAACTTCGCAGCTTTTCTTACCTGTCTCACACCCAAACAAACCATTTCATATTGTCTTCTGGGAATTCGCGTCGCGTGCCACAACACGCATTTGACCGACTCCGTCGAACCTTCGAAAGCATCGATGCAGCAACAAATTACATAGGCGAAAATTCGAATAGGCAATTCGAAAATTCGAATTTCCGAGAGAAATTACTATATTTGTTTGCTCATTTATTGAAATTTTTAAAATTTCCAAGAATCACATTCGAGAATTCCGATATATTCGAGAAACTCCATCCGTTCGAGATTCTCGGTGCTTTCGAGATACGTACTCGGCCGTTTCGAGATTCTCGATATTCTCGAGGCTTCGTCTCGTACTCATCTCGCGTGATCTCGTCTCGTCTCAAACGTCGAGGCCTCGAAAATTTCGAGGCCTCGCCCACCTCGTCTGTTTACTCGACCAATATTTAATTCCGTTCTAATTTCGCAACGTACAATCATCCCGACTATTAGTTTCATGGAAAATGAAATAATCAAGATTAGCGTCCAATATCTAAGATAATTGTAATCCGAGTATTCTGCTATTGGATGACACGCGTTCCACTGATTAGACCATTGGAAAGGAGGGATCGTACGAATATCCGATTTATTCATAAAAGTAACAGACTGCGCGCGCCCAGGTATTAGTTGGCGGAGGCGTCGAAGGACGCGTTTGCTCTGAACATAGTCACGAAGTGGCCGTGCGAGCCTGCCGGCTGTGCGGCTGTCACATGCAGCGATGCAGCCAGTTGTCCCGTCCACGCTTGACGGTGCATCGTTGCATGCGGCTTCTAAACACGCGTACATTCGATTTTCACCCTGTCGGGATTTACTTTTCACCCGCGTCCACGAGAATCAATCGGTCGAATTCGAGGAAAGTACGCACAGGCTTCGAGAACAGAGCATGCACCGACAGACGACGCCAGTGCCGTGGCTGCAGGCAAGCTAGGACAGGTCTGGACATACCCGCGTAGTCGCATCGTCGTTATGAATGGAAGCGGTCGTTCTGTTTGACATAACCGTGTTGCATCGCGACGAAGTATCGAACGCAGCTCGAGAACCATCTGGCTTACCGTCGAAGCGACCGGAGAGGAATGCCGATATCTGTATCGGCTGTTAAATCCAACGAAGAGAAGGTGGACGCGCCGCATTGTCCCGAGGAGGCCGTCGCGTTGAGAGCGGACAGGACAGAAACAGCTTTGCAAACGAGGTTCACCGTGTCGTCGAGAGGGGCGAAGTTCAATGCATTCGTGAATTCGGGGAGAGAGCGTCGCGACAAAGAGGGTATACTCTCGCGGCGCGTGGTACGTCAGTGATCGGTGAATACAGGCAGTCCTTGTTCTTTCCGTTCGAGATTGGACGAAAAAGAGAAGAAGACAGAGAAAGAAAACGAGAAAAGGAAAGAGCAAACGGTAACCGGGGCGGAGGAGAGGCAGGAGTTGTACGACCGTCGGCAGCGTGCCGGCGTTTCGAGTGGCTGGGAGCCCGTGGACGGGCCACCCTAACTGCGAAAACTGCGGGGAGAGCTAGAGCGCGTGAATGTATTGGATGCGATGGCCGCGTATCCGTCGTCGTCGTCGTCGTTGTGATCGCCGTGAAAACGGTGCTACACCGTGGATATCCCCCGGAGACCTTCTACACCCATGGACGCATACGAAACGAAGCCGCAGCTTGTATCGTGATCGCGGCACGACGGTAACCTCGAGGATGCCGCGAGCGTTGTTCATGTCGAATGGAAGGATGGCGGGTTTCGAGATCGTCGATAGAATCGGGATCGACAGGCAGAAGAAGAGGATCGTTTAATTATAAATCGGACGCGCGGCGACAAACAGCCAAACAACGGCTGAACGTGTGGCGAGGTCCGGCGAGCTGGTGAGGCGAGGTCGGAGGTCGGTCTCCGAGCTGAGACACGAGGATCGTCGTTCGAAGATGAACTCCATGGTATATACCCTGTATGGGTTCGCGGTATTCTTCATGATATTCTGGTCGGGTATGTGGATCGTACACCTGCTGGCGTTGATAGCCGGCCGCTGGAAGCTCCATCGTAAAGTCACCCAGGTACCAACCTACGAGATCCCATTGCCCGGCGTGTCGATTATAAAGCCACTGATGGGCGTCGATCCGAATCTGTTCAACAATCTAGAGACCTTCTTCATTATGGAGTATCCCCGTTACGAGCTGTTGTTTTGCGTCGAGGATGACTCGGACCCGGTGTTGATGCTGGTGCGCAAGCTGATCGAGAAATACCCGGAAGTCGATGCCAGACTGTTCACCGGTGGCCGGAACGTCGGGGTCAATCCGAAGATCAACAACATGCAACCGGCATACGAGGCGGCGAAACACGAGCTCGTGTTGATCAGCGACAGCGGTATCAAAATGAAGGAGGACACGCTGCTGGACATGGTAAACTATATGACCGACAACGTCGCGCTGGTGCACCAGATGCCGTTCACGTGCGACCGCGAAGGTTTCGCCGCCGCGTACGAGAAAATCTTCTTCGGTACTGTACAGTCGCGGATGTACCTGGCCGCGGACCTGCTGCGAATAAACTGTCACACGGGGATGTCCGCGCTGCTTAGGAAAGCGCCCCTCGACGAGGTGGGCGGCTTGAAAACGTTCGGTGTCTATCTCGCCGAGGACTTTTTTTACGCGAAGTCGTTGACCGACCGCGGATGGCGGATCACAGTCTCGTCGCAGCCGGCGTTGCAGAACAGCGGCCACTGCGAGCTCCACTCGTTCCAGGCGAGGCTACGAAGATGGGCGAAGCTCAGGGTGGCGATGCTGCCCACCACGATCCTGCTCGAGCCTCTGAGCGAGTGTTTAGTGTTAGGTGCCTGTGCTTCCTGGGCTGCCAGTGTACTGCTTGAGTGGGACTCGCTTGTTTTCTATCTGGTACACATACTGTTGTGGTTCATGTGCGACTGGACGCTGCTGTGCGTCGTGCAGAACGGCCCGTTGCCGTTCAATAAATTAGAGTTCGTGTGCGGATGGTTGCTCAGCGAGATCACCAGGCCCTATCTTTTCCTCCAAGCGGTCCTAGACCCTCTAATACAGTGGCGGTCCCGCGTTTACAAGCTCAGGTGGGGCGGAGTCGCCGAAGAGGTTAAGACGAAAGTCAAATATTAAAAACGGACTAGAAAGGGATAGACGCCGAAAGTCTCTCCAATTTTTCCATACGTCTTTCTCTCCCTGTTTTCTTTTTGTCGTGTTTTTCGTTCGAGTGACGCGTCTTGGGCCCTCGTATGGGTACACGCTAGACCTCCTGCAATCTGGACACGAGTACGAGTACACTGCTAGAAACAAGTCGTGCGCGGGTGCTATTGTGCCACGGAATCCACTGACATTGTTACCGCGACCAATAGAAAAATTACGTGTAATGTCTAATAATCGATCAGGCTCGCAATCGTTCCAGAAGACTTATTTCTAGTCGTGCAGAGGGTACTCAAGGATCCGATCTTGAATCCGAGTACCTGACTTATCCGGATTCGAGCTTCATTTCCATGTATTCCGGGCATATTCACACAAGCAAGTGTAACAACACTCTTTCTATATATATATATATAAAAAAAAACAAAACAGAAACTTATTCATTTCCCGTACAGAAATGGATGAAATCTATTCAATTACTCGGATTCAGATCTAGCAAACATCCGAATACTCGGGCTTTGGGTATCCGTAGATTCGGATACACAGTAAAAATAATAGTAAGAGCTCTAGTTACACACCCATTAAGGCCGACAGACTTTTATTCACGTAACAGATGTTCAAGGGCAAGCAGTATTAATATTAATTCTCAATTTCGTACTGATGAAAGGAGCGGAGGAGGAAGGGGGTGGGGGGGAGCAAACTGTACCACTTTTGCTACCGATCTTATACTTAATGATATAGAACTTTAAGTCGAGTCTTGAGAATGGATTTACGTTTGTTGACGTCAGGTCCACGACGCGTCGAGACCAACGTGACCATATGTTCGTGAAATTCCAGTGCCGGACAGTCTGAGCGAAAATTTGTAACTTTTCAAATTTTTATTTTACCTTTGTTTTAATCGCGATATTTATTTAATATTTATTATTTGTATATATATATACAAATAGAATTACAAACAATGTAATCGTAAAAAGTAATTTATAATCGGTACATTTTTCGAAGTCACGGCTGTTTTGCACAATCTGAGGCATTTTTTGGTCATGTTTGTCAAATGCATGCGTCCATGCGACACGATGCGTGGATGTTTTTCTTTATTTTTTTTTTTGTAATGTCCGATATATTTGCTATTTTCGTGTACAGTACTTATTATACTTGTATTACGTTAGAAGAGGAATACTAAAATACGCGCCGTATACGCACGTCACACGGAGTCACACGTACACACGTGCGCGCCAAGGTACACACAGAGAGATTCGTGTAAATATTAAATGGGGGATGTTTGTTGCCACGGGTGCGTACGCACGTCTTTCGTAATAACGATACAGCGCGATACGCAATTTTTCGATTGTTTTACATGCTATATCCGCCGACTCGCGACGGTATGCTCACTGATTGTGCAATGTTTTGTTTCTTGAGCGTTTTCTTCACTGTTGTTTTTTTTTTAGCTACTTTTATACTAGCGAGCTGCGCGCGCTTAATTAGACTGTGGATATTAACAATAAAATGCATTCGTTGGGGCCCGGCGTTCTGTCACAGCGATACTTTCGTTCCAGTGTTTCGTGTCACTTGTAAATAATAATAATAACGATGAAACCGGAAGTGTCGTCGAAATGGAACGTTGGGCCAACGATGAGTTGAACATGATTATTAAAACTTATACGGTAGAACCCTCCACATTCGAACATCTATCGGATTGTCTCCATGTTGACATAGCATTCAACTGCTCTCTCTCTCTCTCTCTCTCTCTCTCTCTCTCNTCACACAAGCAAGTGTAACAACACTCTTTCTATATATATATATATAAAAAAAAACAAAACAGAAACTTATTCATTTCCCGTACAGAAATGGATGAAATCTATTCAATTACTCGGATTCAGATCTAGCAAACATCCGAATACTCGGGCTTTGGGTATCCGTAGATTCGGATACACAGTAAAAATAATAGTAAGAGCTCTAGTTACACACCCATTAAGGCCGACAGACTTTTATTCACGTAACAGATGTTCAAGGGCAAGCAGTATTAATATTAATTCTCAATTTCGTACTGATGAAAGGAGCGGAGGAGGAAGGGGGTGGGGGGGAGCAAACTGTACCACTTTTGCTACCGATCTTATACTTAATGATATAGAACTTTAAGTCGAGTCTTGAGAATGGATTTACGTTTGTTGACGTCAGGTCCACGACGCGTCGAGACCAACGTGACCATATGTTCGTGAAATTCCAGTGCCGGACAGTCTGAGCGAAAATTTGTAACTTTTCAAATTTTTATTTTACCTTTGTTTTAATCGCGATATTTATTTAATATTTATTATTTGTATATATATATACAAATAGAATTACAAACAATGTAATCGTAAAAAGTAATTTATAATCGGTACATTTTTCGAAGTCACGGCTGTTTTGCACAATCTGAGGCATTTTTTGGTCATGTTTGTCAAATGCATGCGTCCATGCGACACGATGCGTGGATGTTTTTCTTTATTTTTTTTTTTGTAATGTCCGATATATTTGCTATTTTCGTGTACAGTACTTATTATACTTGTATTACGTTAGAAGAGGAATACTAAAATACGCGCCGTATACGCACGTCACACGGAGTCACACGTACACACGTGCGCGCCAAGGTACACACAGAGAGATTCGTGTAAATATTAAATGGGGGATGTTTGTTGCCACGGGTGCGTACGCACGTCTTTCGTAATAACGATACAGCGCGATACGCAATTTTTCGATTGTTTTACATGCTATATCCGCCGACTCGCGACGGTATGCTCACTGATTGTGCAATGTTTTGTTTCTTGAGCGTTTTCTTCACTGTTGTTTTTTTTTTAGCTACTTTTATACTAGCGAGCTGCGCGCGCTTAATTAGACTGTGGATATTAACAATAAAATGCATTCGTTGGGGCCCGGCGTTCTGTCACAGCGATACTTTCGTTCCAGTGTTTCGTGTCACTTGTAAATAATAATAATAACGATGAAACCGGAAGTGTCGTCGAAATGGAACGTTGGGCCAACGATGAGTTGAACATGATTATTAAAACTTATACGGTAGAACCCTCCACATTCGAACATCTATCGGATTGTCTCCATGTTGACATAGCATTCAACTGCTCTCTCTCTCTCTCTCTCTCTCTCTCTCTCTCTCTCTCTCTCTCTCTCTCTCTCTCCCTCTCTCTCTTTGAATAAATAAAATTTAATGTCAAATTGTTATATTATCCGAGCACTTTTTATGCGAACGCTTTTGCGCTTCCTCTCCCATGGATTCGTCTACGGAAGGTTCTACTATAATTCGTTTTTAAATTTGGAAACTGTTTGATCAACTAGCTAAATGTCCATTTTCAATTCCACGGAATTTTGTCGAAACGTCTGATGGGAAAGTTTTTACGCCATTTTCGAGTGTAACGAAGGTAGGGAACGGGGGTTGGGATACCTGGCACAACCAGGTCGGTCTCAGAGTCCCTTGCCATAATAACGAATAATTGATGGGGATTCTAATGAAACTATTCCTTCGAGGAAACCGTTGCAAAAGTGTATCGTAGTCATTTTGGACGCGTGGTGACATAGTGTCTCGTCTCTCTGTTGAAAATTTGATTTTCTTTATCGTTGCAATAGACCCGTATTTCAACGATTTTTCTACTAGGAGAACTCGCATAAGTATATAATCGAACTTGGTATTTACATTGAAATACATAGTAAATAAGGGAAACTGAAATCACACAATTCATACAACAAAAATTCAATAGTCTTTGATCCCTTTTGAAATTGACCGTTTGACATTTTGGCATTCCGTTCCTTGTTTTATCCACCGGATTAGGTTATATTCAGGTAGTAGTCAGACCCGATTGGGATCAGGATATTTTCTACAAAATTAAACGCATTACGGGATTCAAAGTTAGACGACAGAGGAGAAGGTGTCGGTATCCGTGAGGCGGTAATATTTGCGTTGAGCACCGCATTGTTTCTGTGTCGATAAGATCGGGAGAAAGTGGGATCGCGATGGAACAAGAATGTTAGCGAAATCGACGCGGCAAAACCTGTGCAGGTGGCGCGAGCGTTGTTCTCGTTTGGAAATTGTTCGATCACGATGATAGGTAGTTCTCTCTGTAACAAAGAGAACGAGATTATTCGAGAGGATGAGTGCAATTAAAATAACGATTAAACCAACTTAAAACGAACGGAACTTCGCAGTCGGAATTATACCGATCGGTAAAAAAATGCATTGTACAATTGGAACCCAGCAGATCGTGGCTTGCAGGTAACAAAAAGAAAGGTTAGTATAGAGTACTATAGAGCATTTCCTAGGACATCGATAAGATTCTTTTTCGAGACGATTGGAAAGAAAAGTGATTAGGCTTCCAGTAACTGAAATGTTGACAACATTATCCTCTATTTTATATGTTTAACTCTTATCGCACGGTTGTACAGATATCGCGGATCAATTGTTTTCCGTGATTCTCCTATCTTAGGAAATACACGCTCGCCGAAGTGATGTTTCCAACAGAAATGTTTCATCGTGAAACAATTCTATCTTCGATGCCGATTAAATTTCCGCTACCTCCATTCGTCATCTTCGAGCACTATCGGAACAGGCGTTCGTCACGATCGCGATCGTAAGATGTTGGCCGCGATCGATCTGGGTGTACAGTCATGGTCGGGCCCCCCTCCAATCGATCATCGAGATCCTCCCATTTAATTGCGACATCGGAATTTCGCGCGTCAATCCATCGGCCACGGTGCTCAGATAAACGAACATTTCCGTAACTTAAAACCAGCCCCGATGTTGCACTGTACATATGTATATAACGACCGACCGTAACTAAAAGTGAGAGTCGATCATCACGATTACATAATTTCCTTGTTCGCTTTCGACGTGTATAGCGTGATTCGTGAATTGGACCGATAAGAGATCATGTGTTTCATTTGATTCGAGGCTTCGTTTCCAGGCTCTTTCTACAAAACTATATAGTCTAGTTTCGAGCAAATCCATATGGAGCAAGCTGTGTCGTTCTTTTTTCTTTCTTTCTTTCTTTCCAACATTCCCCGCCGCGCGTGTCACGACAATCGCTTTGCTCGTTTTCGAAACCGATCGTTGTTCGAAAGCGGCAGCTACAATCTAATAGTTTCCAAGGGTTTTTGCCTTAACGGCTTGTACATACACGTGTACATACGAATCTATATTTTTGTTTCCTTTTGAAATGAACGCGTTCCATAATTTTTTAAAACGATCTTCCACCATTTCCTAGCGCGATTCGATGCCGCGCGATTGGAATTCACGCAATGAGAACACATATATGGGGACCCACTGGAAAGCTTAGCCCATCGTGCATTGGTTGGCAGTCTGTCTAGCATAGCACAGCGAGCGTTGCTTGGCTTTCCGGCGATCTCGCGATTCGCTTGTTCAGCATGGTCGCGACAAAAGAGCGACAAACAACGGCGGGAAAACACGTTAATCAGATTCGGTTGCGCATCGTGCGGCGAATAATTATTACTATTTTTCACAAACAATTCGATTACGCTGCTACGTTCGTCGTGCGAGCCGTTTTCCACGGCGTGCAAACGCAACGCTACGACCTGCATCGACGCGGACATTACCGAGTACAGCAGATATCGCGAGTACCGCGAGTTTAACGCGGATAAACGATAGGCTGATAGATAGGAAAAGCGAAGGGATCGTCGGGAAATAAAACTGTGCACGGCCGCGATGCGCGGAAAGCGCGTTCCCGCGATACCGATGAAATTCATTTATCTCGGGCAACGACGTTGCTTTCCCAACGCGCAATGGTCCGGGAACACGGTCTCTGTGGGTTCAATTACATTTTCAAGTTTAATATACACATTGAAAAAATATAGTTCCGCTATACGAGCCGACTATAGCTCTTCCAAATCCAAAATATTATTCGCTTTAGACGATACGAGACGGCGGTGTTCCAAAGACGAAAATCATAAAATTCCGAGTAAAATGAAACGCGTACAGCGATTATAGAACATCAGAAAATAGGGTTTTAGCGATGGTTTTATACAACGTGATCAGCGGGTGCGCTTCAAGTACGTAATCCACTTTTGTACAAATTTAAAGTATAAGCGAATGTCGAAGACAAATTTCCTTTTATAAGAAACGACGGTCGCCTTGACATTTTGTAAATGTTAATACGTATATTTTTGACCTACTATACTATAACCTTAGGCCTTCGAGTAATCTTGAACCACAGAAAGCGGGTTCCTGGACTGCTCTGTGCGGCGGAACGGATGTTAACAACGACACTGAATAAACATTCGTTCGAATATCCACCCTGTGTAGGCGCAGTCTCTTTTCTTTTTTTATTAATTTCGGACGAAGGTAAAGAGAAGTTAGAGAATTCAGTGAATCAGAGTGGCGTCCTAACGAGTGGTCGGCTAATTAAGATGTTTCTGCTGTCGTTTCGTCACGCGGTTGGATAGAACTGTTTGAACCCTCGAAGATCCGGGCTTCGCCGGCTAATTGGTTTAATTGTCCCGACAAGTGGGGAAATGGGCGAGATTGACGATTGTACGACGATTAGCACGTGCATCGTTCACTTTTATTTTCTTAATCGACACGGTAACCGTCTCGCGAGTTTTTGGCCTATTACGGTGTATACATATTTATAGGTCCAGTCCAAAGGCCTCTTTCCGTTTGCGTTCATTGTTAATAAACTGCCGATACGCTGCTGCTACAACTATCAACGTATTTCTACGATCTGTTCAGGTGTTTTACAGTACCTGTTGCGGATACAAATGAAAGCAATTTGTATGGTCCGTGATGCGAAATTAAGAAAAAAAAGAAAAGGATCAAGTTGAATGAAAACCCGTACGGGGTTTAAGATAAGAACAGATGAAAGCAAAAGTCCGACGTTCACTTTTTTCGCGATCGCAAGATTAGAGGTCTGCCTGAGTTAACCCACTGTGATTACACGAGACGTTACCTTGTCATATACTTTATCATAGATTACGTTATCGAGCCAGATACAATACCAGCCTTATCGAGTTATCACGAATTTTTTCGATCGTGATCGGTCACGTTTCTTTTCTTTTTGTGGACGACGACTCAACGGTCGGCAGTATTTTTAACACAATACCGCCGTCTAAATGTTGTAATCGGCATCGAATTGAATTTAACTTGACTCGTACAAAATGCTCGCGTTCCGTGATAAAAGCTTGTCGTTGTTTCCAATGTTAGATACCGTTCTAACCTTTGCGATATTTATCAGTTAATTGAAGATAAGCAACTCAACAGAATACCTTACTGCCTTTGATTGCAAAATAACGTTCGTTTTATAACTCTCCATTTGCGTGATTTGCATTTCCGTCGTGGAGATTTTTTTAAATATGAAATTCTTTCTCTAGAGTAATCTCTTCAAGTTCGAATCGTTCTACACTGCAATGATTTTTACACCGATCTAACACACGTATACATACATATGTATGTATGTAGAAGTGTTGTCGCAACCCGACGGTTGTAGAAACAACCATAGTCTACAGGCGGGATTTCTCATACGCGTCGGACGTATGCGTCGAACGCATTTATACCGATTGTAACGGAGTGATAATGCTTATGTTTTTCTATCAGCGATTTCCAAGCCTGACGATCCTCCATTTCAGAAGCAACGTGGTCGCAAACGCGTTCTGGTTAAATTCAACATTTACTTGTTAAAAATATCCGAAGAGCTATTGCCAATAATAGTTGACATAACTCATTCTTTACTCAATCTAAAAAACTGCTAATATGTCTGCTCATTATTCAGTAACTGTCTTCTTATCGAAATGCTACAATAGCGTCGCGCGGCCACGTTAATCACTCGACTACCACTTCTTATTATATGTTATTTATATACAGGATGCCCCAAAATTATGTTACTTTTCGGAAATCAGGGGTTCCTGAGGTCGTTCAAAGTAACCTTTTACTTTACAAAAATGTTCTCCGAGGCATCGTTAGCGAGTTATTAACGAAAAACCAGTGACCAATGAGAGGCGAGCTCCGATGGCGCGTGGCGGCACAGCCAACGAGCGCGCGAAGCCCAGCTCCGCCCAGTTCACTCGGCCCGCCTCGCGCCAGTCGAGCTCGTCTCTCATTGGTCACCGTTTTACGTTAATAACTCGCAAACGAAGCGGCGGATTGCATTTTCGCCAAGGAGAAAGTTACTTCAAATAATCTCAGGAACCTCTCATTTCCCGGAAATACCATAACTTTGGGACACGCTGTACATTCAGTTTATACGGTAGAAACTTGAAATGAAAATATCTCGAGACCAAAGGCCCGCTGCGAAGAATCCCATCAGGGCTTTTCGATATTAGTCTGTGTACCGTAACTTGAATCCGCCCTCGTTACAAAAGCGATTTCCACGATCGTAAGTTCCCGTCCGTCCGCATACGTCCGACGCATATTGGAAATCCCGTCTTAAGACCTGAAGAGAACTTGTAAGATTTCGCGTAGAACAAAACGATAATCGTACGAAGTGCTGCACATCGGAATCCAACCACCGGTAACACGAAGTTTCTGCGTTCGTTGTTTTTGCGCTTGTTGCTCGATCTCCAAAGCGGCGTTTCGTACGATACACGATGCGTGGCCGATCCCGTCGAAAATCCCGTCGGATTCTCTCGCGGAGGATGAAAAGGGAACACGTAGATCTCGCGGCGCGAAGCGTCGGCGTACCGTCGTTATGCAGATTCGTTTAACGACGAAATGACTCGCATAAGCCGGATCATATCCGGGACTAGGCCTCGACGTAGAATCTAGGGAAATGACGGTTGTCACGGGCAATTAGATAAAATTGATGGTACATGCTCGCTCCTTTCGACGGACACACGAGACGATCTCTAGGAACTTATTTTATAGAAACTTTACACAGTGCTCGAACGGAAACGCTCGGGCACGTTTATCACGTATTTTGTGGAGTAGAATGGTCTCGCACACGGGCGCAGAAGTAGGTTACATATTCATCGTGACAACGATGTTTACGCTAACGCGTGTGCCGCGGCAACCGCGTTAATCGAACATACGATTGAACAATGTTGAAAAATAAATGTTAGATAATCTCGAATAAAGGAGCGACGATAACGGTGGGCTGATGACGCGTTCAGAGTATCGCGCGCAGATAAACGGGACGTCGAGAGATAGACGAATCGGTTCTCTTTTACGGGCTCGGCGGCCGCGATCCGAGCAGAAAAAAGAAGGCGTCCCCTTTTGCCGTTTGTTGCGGCCGCGAGAATTCGCGGGGATATTCTTTGCTCCTTACGCAACGCTATTTTGCCTATAGTTTTCCTCCTGTGCTCGCATGGAAAAAATCATCGATCAGCGCGATCACTTTTCCGAGGAAAACGTAAATCGGTTCCGCGGAACCCTCTTCCCCGTGCCGAGGAAGAATAAAAACGCGTTAATCGCGAGAATCGCGATGGCGTGGCTCTGACTCACACACAAGATCGGGATTCGACGGAATTCTCTTATCTGGTCAGAGCGAGACGATTACGGTAATCCGGTGGAATCGTCGTTGCGAAACAATAGCGAGGCAGCGCGAGCTAAAGATCGGGCCGAGGACGACTCGACGGAATGTAATTCGTAACGAGTAGGCTTCGAACGAGGGTTCAATTTGTAATTCGATGCTCGTCGCACAACGTGTGTTTTTCTTTTTCCTATTTTTTTTTTTTCTTTCGCAACGGAGATTAGATGCCTCGATAATAAGCCGGTGCTTGTACGAGATTGGATTGGCTAATTGTCGGTTGAACGGGGCACCCGTAAAGAACACGGAGAGACACCCCTCCGCTATTAAAAATGCTATCCGGTACACGGAGGCTAGCGTTGTCGGAGTCGGATTTGAAGCTTGTCAGCGAACCAATGATATCGTTGAGTCACTACGCGGAACGTGAAACCGGCGGTCGTCGTAGTCGCGCACGCCTACATCTCCGCTCTTTAGAACGGACTCTGCAGCTCTGATAGCGCGGCACAAGGCTTGATACTACGTAACATATTTTCCTGTCCACGCACGCCGATGCGTCGCGCGTTCGAATTTCTTCCAGTACCGGGGAATTATTTCTGAACGATGTTGATCCGTGTTGTCGGAAACACTGGCGAAGTGTCCACCCGCAAATTGCACTCTATTCCTCCCATTGTCGAGGTTCCTTCAAATTCTATATATATATATATGTATATGTGTGCGTGTATGTGTGTCCTCGCGCGTGTATTTCCGTGTATATATGTATGTATGTATGCATGTGTGTGTGTGTAGAGAGAGAGATTGAGACCACTTTGATCTGAATTGCCTCCGCTATAAATACAGTGCAACGAGCGCACTTAACCTTGTAACCTTGCTTGACGCGACGCCAAACTTCTTTTTCAAATTCCGCCGGTTTGACACACCGGGAACAGGAGGGCGGTCGTTCGTAAGCGGTCGCGTTCCAGAATTCGTCCCGGGAACACAAGCTAATCGGTGGCCTGAATTCCTTTTTTTCTTTTCTTCTTCTTCTTTCGAGCCACAATCACGGTAACCAAAGAAGACTGGTTGGCTCGGAGTTCGAGGTCACCGCCGTCAAGGTCACTGCTGAAAAGAGATCTTTTAAATAGAATCGGCGCCAGCGAAACGGACAAGCGACGGCGACGCTTGTTTTGTACCTTGAACGGGTTCGATGGATCGATCGAAGGCTTTCTTTCGGTTCGATACAAACGTCCCACGTTCGCGACTCGACTCGTCTCTAATCGACGATGATCTAATCGTTCGATTGAACAGGTGGTGCTGCAATTGTCAAATTTCTGTCGCCGTTACATCCATCGCCGCCACGTGTGTGTGTGCGTGTGTGCGTGTGCGTGCGTGCGTGCGTGTGTGTGTGTGTGTGTGTGTGTGTGTGTGTGTGTGTGTGTGTGTGTGTGTGTG